CGGGGGTCCTGGCACTGGTGACAGCTCCTCATGTCGTCAGAGTAGTTCTCGATTTGGATGGTGGTGGTATGGAAGTCAAACTTGGCCTGTAGCACTTGGCTGGCCTCTTTCAGCACAGCCTGGCCCTCTGCGTCCTCCTCTGTAATGACAGAAGCAGCTGAATCAGAAGAATACAGAGCTGTGGCTGGCAGGACCCATGATGCACCAGTAAAAACCTCCCCCATTGCCGAATATGACCACTTAGCCCAATGTACACAGCTTTTCAGTCAATTTACCTCCATTTCAAACTGCTCACCTTCCAAAGAAGAAAATCTACCATGACAACTAACGTACATTTACAACAGATCACAGAAAACTACAGTATCCCCCCCCCAAATTAGATCAGTACAAAAACTGAAATTTATATTTCAGTTCTGAAAACCTATTCCTTTGGAAAGCCAGAGAGCTCACCAACTCAGTTTTTTCTAAACCTCACAGCACATGATCTGAATTTGCAAGACACCACAGAAAAGAAAAACTGATTTCAGGTTAACAACACTCCATCTGGTGGCAGAGGTACATAACTGCAATTTTAGTGCTGGAGATTCTTGTCTGAAAAGAGGATCTGAGGCCCTAATGAGGAAATATGCAAATACCAAAACCTACAGCCTGTTAATTTTCTACAAGGTAGTTTTTAAAGGCAATGTTATAGGTGTCCAACAGATTATTAGTAATAGTGTCAAACAGTGATGGACAAGTTACTAATAATCTACAACAATGATTAGCCAGAGCGCATCTTCCATTTTATCTGAACTCTCGATTACTGCATTGGTACGATTTCCAGGTTTATCGACACTTAAAAGCCTTGCAGGGCCCCATTTTTCAGCCTTGACTTATAGTGAAACATGCAAGTAATTAATAATTGTAACTCCTGACCCCAGCAGATAAGCAGCATAACCTGCATATAATATGTCCCAATATTGACAGCAATATGCAATGTATGATCTTTTTATAGCCAGTTTGAGTGGCATTTAATACAGTGTTTTTCCATCCCAAAGGACCCCCCCAGACTCCTAAAAAATAATAGAGGAACCACTTTATCCACCCCCCACCTGAGTAGCACATGGATGACATTTGCGCCAGCAACCACACTACACAGCAGATCAGATGGAGAAGCAGAACTGCAGACAACCACACACCAGTCTGCCACATGTCCAACCAGCCCCCAGCTCGTGTGGTTTTGTACCACTCAAGCAAACCACTCACTGCACAGTTAGATCACTCGTGCAGAAAGCCCAAAACACAAGTAGTGCAAAGTGCAAACCTAAGGCAGGAAAACAATGCAAGACCTCGTCACAGGGTGAAGCATTTAGAAAAAAAAGTCAAACCAAGTGTTTAGAATGCAAAAAAAAAAGTGGTGTTGCATATTTTACTGCTTGTGCATGTTATCTTCCAAAGTTGTTTAAAGGCTAACTTGACAGATCACGGTTTTGGATATTACTCATCAAGCACATGCTCTCAATGTCACATTCAACACCTTGAATCTTCAGTGCTTTTATTACATATTATGTCACTGAAGACAGTTACATTTGCTTAGGGTAAATGTGTTCTGTTCTTGGTGCAACACACATAAAACCAAGAAACACTTCAGGGAAAAGCCAAGAGGAAATTTAAGGGGTTAAGAAGTTGAATTGATCAAGAAAGACACTTACTAATGGCGATGTGGACAGACAGCACTGGCTGGTTGACAGTGAGAGCCCAGATGTGGAGGCTGTGCAGGGCCTGGACCCCAGGAATAGACAGCAGAGTGTCCTTCACATGGTTGAAATCCACCCCTTTGGGGGTACCTAGGCAGAACAAAAATCTGGGTCAGATATGGCTAATGCATAAACTAGACATTTCTAACTGAAACAGAACAAGAGATCTTAAGCCATGTATTATCTTCCAAAACATGTTTGCAAATGGCAAAAATGCACCAGAGTCAAAGAAGAATTAACCTAAATCTCATCTAATGATTTTCATCCTGGGACTGGTGTTTTGATTTTGAAATCAAATACAAGACGTGCACACAACCACTTTATCTGATTACTCATGTAGAAGTCATGAACTGTAACTAAATAGGTTCTAAAGTAAGAAAATAGTAAGTAAAAGTAACTGTAAGTAAATAGGATGCTGAAGATTGAATGCTATACAGTCCCACATTATAAAAAAATCTGCCTATACAGACAGCTGCATGTTAGTTAAAATTCTAGGTCTGTAAATACAGACAACTGAGTGAGGAACCTTGGCTTACAGCAAAGAAATGTCCTGATCATTACACTTTGGTCTGGTTATATGGTGGATTGATACACTGTTTCCCTGCTTTCAATTTCATCATCTGCCACACCTATACTCCTTCACACTCCATCCCAACACTTCACCAAAAAGTCTTACCTTCCATAAGTACTCGCAGGACATCCCGCAGGATGGACAAGGTGGTGAACAGTACCAGGACAGAGAACAGGAAGGTGCAAATGGGATCAACGATCTTGTATTCTGGCTGGAAGGCATAGAGACAGACGCCGTGGTAATGTTTCTGGTCTAGTTCATCATTGGATAGATGTTGTTAATTATGGGAACTACATTTTGATCATTTATATCTATTCATCCTTCCATCCACACACACAGACAGTCAAGCACACAATCCAGGACTAATTTTCCTAGAAGCCAATTAACCTACAAGTATATTTTTGGACTGTGGGAGGAAAGCTGAGCACCTGGAGGAAACTCACACAAAATACCGGAATTGAACCCGGGGTCCAGTGCTGTGAGGCAGCAGTGCTAACCACTGTGCTACCCCAGTACTTTATTTAATTTATAAAGAACCGTCTTGAATTCTCAACCCAACAGTAATGAAGTTCTAAAAACCATGGTTAACCTTACTATGGAACGTTCAGGTCAAAATCAGCTTTCCAAAAGCTAGAACCCATCCAATCATTATCACAAAGCTGAAAGCTGGCTAAAATCACAGCAAGCTACAGCACATCCTGCAAGCAAGTGCACACAACTGCTCTCTGCCTTGATGGGCTATCAGTCTGTTGAAGGACCACATACAAAGGAACAACTGAGAATAAACCTAGCTAGCTTGCCTTTAGGATCAACCAGGTGGGTGGAAACAGGAGGTTGCTGGACAAAACCCACATGAACAAGGGAGAACATACAGACACCTTAGGCCAGAACCAAAACCATGATCGCCCAGGCACTCAGACACTTTCTTCTACTAATAATCGGATTGCTTCATCTGGACTCCAAAATTAAAACAGAAATAATTTTTGTTTGTAGCTTTATAACTTGAGGTTTCTGACAGTCACGAGTCCTGTCATTTTCTTTTTAAATCTCTACATTCATACTGAATGCTCCACAAAGGTATTGAAAAAAAAAAAAACAGCACTTTATTATACCTTAAAGTAAACGATATAGGCTGCCACCAGAATCCCGAAGCTCTGCAGCAAATCCCCAATCACATGTATGTAGGCTGCCCTCACACTGGGGTTCTGCTGGTGGCTGTGGGATGCATTGTGGGACTGTGGAGGACTGTGTGCCCCATGGCCATGGCCATGTCCATGAAGGTTTGTTGACTGATGGAGGGTGATTCCCATTCTGCAACACAAGACAGTTTTGTAGTCTCTGCCCAGGTTTTTTTTGGCTTTTTTGACCGTTCTGCAGGTTCGAGAGGGATTTCCACTTACATGATGTTGACGGCCACAGCGCAGCCCGATGTGATGAGCATGATTTCCCCCTCGATTTCAAACTGGTTGGAGAGGATCCTCTGCACGGCCAGATACACCAGAACCCCTGTCACCACCCAGATAGACAGCACGGACAGCAGCGCTCCCAGGATCTCTGAGGAAGACACACATTGCGGGCATCACTCACAATTGCACAGTGAATACATCTGCAGCCAGCTGGAGTTCTGCTCATAGGAGAGCGCTCAAGGTTCCTTTAAGTATAAAGTCGATGATTGCTGCCCATAACTCAAGTCAAGAATTTACTCCAATTTCTGTAGAACTAACTAAACTGGACCCTTTATACAGCTGGTTGGACTAGCACAATTAAGGCCAAGCCTCCTGCAAGAGTGAAAATGGTAAGGTCTTTAAATGCTGCTGCATAATGGATTCATAATCGATTCATATGTGCTACAAAAGACTTTACAATCACATGCATAATGCTTCACAGGAACATACACAAATGACAACAGTTATGACTAGATTATGAAGCTATTATGCAGGGTTACTGTAAACACAGCAGTGTGTAATGGATTTGAACTCACAACCCCGAGGTAAGAAGCCCAGAGTCATCACCACTGTTCTCTAAATCAGTTCATCTTGATTCCCTTTCACGGTCAGTACCTTTATAGGGAACGGTTGAAAAGCATTCAACAAAGTCTGGAGCTTTGACTGTGTTTTGAATTTCATGCACATCAAAAGAAAATAGGAGAGGAACAAACAAATGATCATCTATTTCAGGAAACACAATTGCATGAGGGTTTCACATTGCAGGTGTAGATCTCAAATCAAAGTGTTTAGGATTTGTAGCATTTCTTTTAAAACACAGACTGATAATAAAAGTGAATGTGTATGTTGTCTCCTGTTCCATCTCAATAGGCAGAGACTGCCCTCGTTGCGGTACTTTGAAAAGGCAGACTGATTCAGCAAATAACTCCGATTACACAAGGTAAAGGTGACAAACAAGGAAACAGAAGCAGCAGCACGCCCAGTAGCTTCAAGTCTGTTCTCAGCTCTCCCGTTTCACCTACGGTGCACCACTCACCCGCACGGTGCCAGCCGAAGTTCATGGTCTTCGTGGCAGGCCGGGATGACATCCACAGAGAGAAGAGGCTGATCAGCATGCTGGCAAAGTCAGTCAGCAAATGGGCTGCATCTGTCATAATGGCCAGACTGTGAGCTAGGTAGCCCCCTAAAGGAACAGAACAATCAGACCCCTGGATGGAGAGACCCTTATGCTTCTAGAAGTCAGTATTCAAACAAGTCAGAAGACGTGGGGCTAAAGTATAATAGACCATCAGAGACCCTTTCTGGTGCAACTATATCCATTTGGGTACACACAGACTTTCAATTACTTATGCTTTATCGTTTGCATATGGAACATACAAAAATATATGGTGGATCAGGAAATAAAACTGGATTATGTCACTTAAATGGTCCATGCAAAAGAATAGTCAACTGACCATTATTTTCATTTATTTAAAAGATGTTATCCTTTTTAAAAGGCAAAACCCACAAATGCTAAATGCAAGACATTGATAAGAGGAGTAATTACAACTGAATCATTACGAATAAAATTAAGAAGCTCCAATCCACTGTTTCTTTGCCTTAAAATGGCTCTTTTACAGTCATTAATATCAACAGCACATGGCAATTTCAGTGTTACTGTGCAGGGGGTTTTGCAGAGCTCTCCTTTTGCCTTCACTGACACACACAAGATTAGTGAACACCTAGGTATCAGTCCTTTGTCCTGCTTCACCAGGGACAACACTCTGACCTGGGCCCACTCCATACCTCTTTCAGCCCCAAGAAACGATCAGTGTGCAGAAATGAAAAGGCATGACCTCTGCAGAAAGAGCCGTGTGTGTAGTTTCTCTGAACCTTCAAGATGAACTCTACAAAATGCATCTGTGATCGTTGTACCCCCACCCCAAGGAAAAGCTTTTACTATGGCCCTGGACATCCTACCCAGTCCTTACCCACCACCTCGCCGACGATGAAGACCAGGCACACCGCGGAGGCCACATACAGCTGCAGGCGGGCCCGGCGCTTCTCGCGCTCCCCGCAACGGGCCTCGCCCAGCTTCGAGTGGCAGTGCTGCCGCGCCTGTCCCTGCAGCTCCACCGTGCTGAGGTCATAGGGGAAACTGTTCAGGGTCTGCCCGCCAAATGCCTTGTAAGGGCTGAGAGAGACATTGAGGAAAACAGGAAGTGTGAGACGGGCGCTGTGCCCTAACCCCCCAAAAAACGACTGGGATTTAAAATAAATTACGGAACATTGAGATGGTCAGAAATAGTATTCCCAGAGTGTGTGCATAATATACCGGCTGTTTTATTTCAATCTCATCAATATCAAAAGGAGACTATGATCATTAAGTTACGGTGCTGATCAATATTACTGCTTGTAACTACCAAGCAAACACACCCTTATAACAGTGTAAGACAACAGACTAAAAAGGAACGGATAATCCTAACAAACCTCAGTGTGAATGCGTGCCAGACACAAACAACATCACAACGGGAAACAGATTTTAAGATGATACTTAAGTTAACCAAAAAATGTGTTTATATTTGTTGAGGTCCTTAATCCTAGTTGATATCAACACCTGTGCTCTATACTCGCAGAGAACTGAGTGAGCTGAACAGCACCATTTTATTTTATACTATTTAATGTGTTAAGGAATGATATTTGAATTTTACATTACTTTGAGTGAATTTATAAAGTTCAAAATTTTGTAAATATTGAGCAAATATTGTGATTCTGTTGAAACACACCAGTACACCTGTGGAAGTAATTTAGAGAAGCACAGTAGTCCTTTTTCTCAGGGGGTAAGCGCGCCACCTGGACGCCGGCCACTACCACACTATTTTGACGAAATGATTGAGTCTCCCCTTTAACTCTGTGCCTTTTCTATTTATATAAGCATGAGTTACTGAACAAATTACAGTGCTCTGTCCTTTTGTACGTGACAATCTCTTTCTACTAAAACTGGAAACGCAAGAATGCAATAACACCTAAATCATTTAGAGCAGGCAAGCGTACACCTATCACACAACCGTGCACATATTTTAAGCTCTACATCATCATTCATTATTTAGCACCAGATGAAATCATGCCAGAAGCTCTTAAGATTTTAAAATCAAAATTTTAAAACCCACAACACTCACTTGGAACGGGCTTCTTTGGTGAGCTCCCGATGTCCCGACAAAAGGCTAGTTTTCTCATTCACGTTATCCATTTCGCGTTTGTAGATTTAAACCGTTATTACTCGAAAATAAAGCTGATTTGGGAAGAAGTGACCTTTTGTAAACCCTCAAAGAACGATAGCATTAACACTCAGTAAAATGTCGTATTAAAAAAACATAAAAACGTGGTTTGACTAGTAATCACCGAAGAGCAGGTATTGCGCCCCGCCTGCAAACCTTCCCTTTTATCTTATTTTGGGTTTTGAACCGTGTGAACTTTTTTCTCCCGGCTCGGCCTGGTTGTTCCCTGGAGTCGTGTGCAAAATATCCCCTCTTAAGACTTGATTTCACATAAAACTGTACGATACCCGTTTGCTAGGATGGCCGGATGTGGAAAACTTTTTAAATTTCAAAGTAGTTAACCGAACATAAACGTCTTCATTAAAAGGATGCCGAAATCATAATTGGGAAACTTTTTTTTGCTTCAATCTTTTAGCAAATAGCATTTTTAATTCCATGACTGGATTTTGCACTAGCAAAATGAAAGATAAAACGTTATTTCCTCCAAAAGGCAATCATGTCCTCTTAAAAAAAACACTAAGTCATACTATTCGAATCATCTTGTGAAATTTACGTGCATTTGGGGGAAGTCTTTATTACGAAAGAAACGCTTACCCTGAAGTTGGCAAATATCGTGGAAAAATCTCGAAGTAACTGAGTGAAGTCGATCAAATTTCGGCCATATCCTCGGAATCACGAAATATCAAATTTAGAGATTGCACTTGTCAAGTTCCGCATGCTAAAAAAAGCCGCTTGATGATGCTCCTTAAATAAAATATAATAGACAGTTACGTTCATGTTTCATTTTAAGGTTCATATACTTTTGTTTAGAAGCGATTAAACGTTTTTTTTTTTCCTGTTACGCAAGTGGCTCCAGTGTGTCTGACTCGCAGAGGTAGAAAAATCAAATTCTGAGAACTACAAGTTTCTGCTAAATGGAGCATGGCTTCTTGTGCTTCATTCTTTTGGCAAGAATTGCGTATAAGATAAGGAGAGTTCTGGAAGCAGGATGCACGATCGTCAGTGAACTATTTATTTTAATACCATATGAAATTGTAAGGCTGGGGTGTCATACATGAGCAATAATTTAACTTCTATATCCCTATTTCCCTTTCGAACGGTGCCCTTGTTTTTTTTAGCGCTGGAATTTGTGGAGGTCTAGACAACGGGATCAGTTTGTCACAAGAAATCATTTCACAACATCTCTTGAGTTTAGTGCAAAAAGCAAGCACAAGGTCGTGTGGAAAACGGGTATCGCGACTTTAAAGGTTGTGCAAGAAAGACATCGTGGATATTGAGTGAATGAGAGGTTTTCCATACTGTACCATATACAGCTTTCTATACGGTGGAGCAGAGACAACTCCAATTTTGCTAAACTATATTTTAAGAAGTTAATTTAAATTCTTGCCATTTAGCTGACTGTTTTAAATAAGCTCACATACTTATACGATTTCTATATTCAGTTTACTCATGTATAAAAGTCACACACGAATGAAAAAAAAAACCGTTGTAGTTGTTGGTGTTTCAAGTGTAAATTTTATAACAGCCCTCTTATACTCATTGTCTCCAAACCTGCAATTCAAGTCAAAACATGTCGTCATTAGACCGCCTCTGGAGCAGTTCATGTTGACTAATGTCACAACCGCTATACAAAACGTCTAGCAATTCGTTGTGCAAACAAGCCTAACACCCCTTCCCAGAGATCTCAGTTCTCACCTCATACACAATCTGGCCAATTGTCCCTTTCAACAGAAGGGGGCTGTGGGTGTGTGACCTCACTAAGGAGGCATGTAAATCATTCCTGTGTAGTTTCAAGCCTCCAAATAAAGAAAAAAGTCAAACTTCCAACAAATTTAACAACACTTTATTTCACTGTGCAATGATCACAAAATTCATTTCTTCAGTGCAACATGTGGTTACCCCTGAATACGTCTCATAAACATAGCAAATACAGCTATCTCATAAACTGTTCAGACAACCTAACCAGGTATCCATCTTGACTACAGTCCTACAGCCTGTTGCATTTAATCTGCACATCCTTCTGTCATTCAAGCATTGCAATTCCATGTAGGTAGTTTTTGACATGTAAACAAATGTCAGTATGTCATTTCAAGTTCATTAGTGTTCGTAACATATTTTTTGCAGTTAAAAATATGTTCCCCTTGACCTCATATACAAAACAAAGTAGTATAAAATGTGCAAAATGATCCATTTTGCATCAATATAAAAAGAGTCCTTCTTTCAGGAGCTGCGCCAGTTTGATCCATGACTGGGTCAGCTAAAGAAATCCTGTCTTGTGCTCAAAGGTCTTTCACAGCACCAACCACAGAAGACGCTGTTGAGCAGGAAACCTCTGTCTTAATCATCTTGTCTTCAAAACCAGGGATTATACTTATTTACTGAAATATTTAAGGATTTCAGGAACTCTCTAGTTTATTACTGAAACATATACAGAGCTCTGTTAAAGGGAAAAATTCTGTCACTCTGTTCCTATCATCAGCTGGGATTGTTTTGAGCATTTCACTTAAACTGGAAGTGTGCAATCCTGGTCCTGGAGGGGCTGGTGTGTCTGCAGGTTTTCAAAATATCTTAAAAGCAGCAGCACCTGAAGAGCTGGAGGAACCCGTTAAAGTGGTCCAGTTAAGCCAGTAACCAGCTGGTTTAGCTTTTTAAGAAATGAACTGGAATGAAAAGGTGCAGACTTGTTCTCCAGGACCATGACCGTGCACACCTAACCTAAACCATGTTGTTCCCAATTGCAGACCATCACACCATATGCCAAATAATTTGCACATTGAAGACCATAAAGCGTCTACTCCAGATATTGTAAAGCACTGTAATTCTGATACAGTGCATATTTCTGATTATAAAAGCAGCCGACTTACACACCAATTTAAACCCCCCAGTCACATGGATAGACGTCCTGTAGCAAGCCCTGAGCGTGCAGGTCAGTCCCATGAATTACCTAATCTTAACCTCAATTGAAGGTGATTTTGCAATAAGAATGGAATGGGATTGGGCTGCAAACCATCTAAAATCTAATGGAACATGTTCAGATATTCTTGCCACTGACAGAGGCATATTATTTAATAGTGGTTCTTAAGATTTTGGCCTGTGCGTATGTTTTGTACATCAATCAATCAAAGATACCACACTCAGAATATTTACTTCCAAGGTTGTACCATTTTGTTAACCTTGTGCAGCTGAAGTGGAGAGATTTCTTGGTGTGGAAATGGCCAGATGTTCTCTACGGTGCATTCCATTTACAGTTTAACTCTGATGGCCTGTGTTTCACTGCCAATGTCATTTGGAAATAATTCTGTAATGGTCTACTACAAGGGATCAGCAAATATGGACGTAGTTTCTTGCTGTGTCTTTGGAGATGATTAGGAAATAGTTTAAATCATACTTATGTTTTTAGAATGGTTGCCATTCAAATGATTCACAGTGTCATACAAACAGTAGTCCATACATAGTTACAATTCTTTCTATGGCACCATATCCAAAATTATTTTAATCACAGCAAAATAGTTCCTCCTGTTCATGTATTATAAACAAGCCTCTGTTTAAACTGACCTCTTGGCATTTCAGTATGGACAAGCCATCACATGATGAGATAGTCAAAGAATGTTTGTTGAATTCTGTTGATTCTGTTGGCTGGTGACACTTTAACAATGAGTTGTTCAAAAATCAATATTAACCACTGCAGGTTTCTTTGCTTTGATAAAAAAAGCATCACACCAGTATGCATTCTTCTTATTAAACAAGCACAGTTCATGGCTGTGTAGGACACACCTATCGAAGAAATTCATGCTGAAATAAGAATGGGAAAGCTATGAAAGATGTGAATGGCTTTGAAATCTTTGATCTGACTTGTTCTTAGCTGTACATGTTCCAGAAACTCTCCTGAGTTTGGAGTTTGTAAACCCCTGAGTTATTTGCCAACCCCCTCTCTTGTGTCTTGTGTCATGTGTAGACAACACCTCCTGATGTCACCCTGTGAGTCTTCGTCCAATTGCTTTCGCTCTTAAAGTCATCCGGCTTGCTCAAGTGTTTCCTTGGAAACTCCTTTACAGAGCACTGTTTAGAAAAATCAGTCTTGACCTGTGAGTATAAGGATAAACAATCATTTGTCTGAGATCAAGAGATATTCTTTTTCATATAAAATACACATACAGTACTGTATACTGCAAAGGAACAAGCAAAGGTTTATTCCACGCAGAAAAGAGACACTACTTTTCGGTTGTGGAGCATTCCTCTACAAGTGAAACACTGTGTCTCTTTTCTTTTCAGCATGGAATAAACCTTCACTTGTTCCTTTGCAGCCTACGCCTGCTGATGCAGCTACCTACTTGAACTTCTACATATATACTGCATGACTTGTCTTTTACTCTGCAAAATGTTAGACCTGTGCTAGCTGATGTAGAAAATATTGTTTTCCAGGTACTACACAAATATAATTACATTTTTGTGAGGCATTTACTGTATGTATACCCAAATCATTAAAAATCTAACAAAGCTTCAAAGGCTGGTCCTGAGTTGAAATTTTAAAGAATGGTAAGCCACAGGATATACCTGTTGTTTGATCTTCTGATGGCTCCTCTCCCCCTTCCTCTTCCTCCTCCTCTTGCTCCTCTTCATCATACTCCTCATCATGTTCTGCTTGTATAAAATATTTAAATTTGTTATTTACTTATTTGAAAAAAACTGCTTGAAGGTCAGAGTATGTATGAATAAAGACGCACATAGACACATTTTGTGAAAGTAGTTCAGGTAGGTAGCTGCGTCAGCATGTGTAGGCTGTAAAGGAACCCAAAAAAAATTATTCCATGCTGAAAAGAGAATAAAAGAAACACACCTGAATAAGACTCCACAGCCGAAACAGTGTGTTTCTTTTCTTTTCAGTATGGAATAAGTCTTTACTTGATCCCCCACATTTAGAGATTAGGTGGAAGTGTAAAGAGAAAGAAAGAGCTTGAGTATTTCCTGTAAGAACTACAATACCTGTTCCAAAGTCCATGGTTCTGAGCATTGCCTCTATGTGTTCGATGTTGAGGGTGAAGTGATCCATGTTCTCAAAGCCAGGCTCTGTTCTCTGGATGTGTGTCTGTTTGGAAGCCTCTGTCATGCTGAAAAGAGAGGAAAAAAGGTGAAGGCTCAGTATACATGTTACCTGAAAGAACGTACTCTCCCAGAGTATTTTTAAGTAAGAAAATGAAAACAAGGAAGAACTCACTCTTTAAGGAGCTGTTTAGCATTCTGTGCCACAGGAAATCAGTGGAGTGACAGAAAAAAGAAACAGGTATAAAGTTGGATCAGTACAGAGTGCTACGGAAAATAGGAACAGAGAGTAAAAATACAAAACACCATTTAATATTACTTTTCATTTACTGAAACGTTACACCATACCTGTCATGTAAACGTGACATTTCCTTGCCTCTTCCCTCAATGTATACTTCTTCTACTCAATAACAAAATTTGTAATTTTTCAAAACGTTTGTCTGTATCCCCATGCAGATCAAAACAAAGAAAAAATTCCTTTGCACCTCAATCGTTAAACCAACCCCCTTTCTCTACAACTTCACAGTTTAATTAGAAATGCCAGACTTTCGATAGCAAGACATCCTTCTGATTTCACTTCAATGGTTGTTTTATACTCATTTTCAAAACATTTTTCTTGTAAAACCCATCTGTTGTTTCATTTTCTTCTGGTCTTAAGCCAACAGTGATTTCCAAATCACTACCATAGTTGTCTCTTTCTTTGATTCACAGCAACTCATATCATTATAATTGTTTTCAGAGTGTACTGGTAAGAGTGCATTTTAAAAACTGCAACCATGGTGAGTCCAGAGTCCATACCATTAAGAATGTTGCCACTGTTGGCTCTTCCATAGAATGGATGGCTGTCTCCACCAGTTTGGAGCTCCCGTCCAACTGCTCCTTGTACTGTTGTATAAGGGAACGCACGTAGCTCATCTTCTCTTCCTGCTCCTGGCTTATCTTCAGCAGCATCTCCCCTTTCCTCTCCTCCAGGATGGCGTAGAGCATGTCAAAGTGCTCGCTGAGGCTCTGCTTCTGCCGTTGGCTGTTCTCCTGCGTTTCACAGAGAGCAAACCCGTGCTGTGCAGGTCTGTCAAAGCAAGCTAATCGATCACTGCAACCTATGAATCAATCCACCAATACGATTTATATAATACTGTATAGCTCTTGTTAGCACCATCTCCAAACATGTTACAAAGCTGGCAAGCAAAAACCCTGAAAATCATTCGTAATGTCACTAAGACATCCCTAACTTCTGCTTTTCATAAACGATAATCAATAATTGTCAGCTTAATTGTCTAATTCAACTGTCTAAAGAGTCTCTTGGATTTTATTTACTTCTCTGATAAACCAAGAGAGAACTATTGAGTTTAAGTTTGAGAGTTTTCTATATTAACATAAGGCCAATGACTGTGTTTCATGTAAATTCACCCATAGTAATGATCAGATGTCTGTATGCTACTTTAACAATTACAATCCTTTCTCATTGACATAAAGTTTTGGTGAAGTAGGAGAGGACAGAAGATTAAACGGGGCCTCAGCAAATAACATTCTGATAATTTTTCCCAGCAACGAGCAAGCACTGGGCCACTGCTGGAGCAGCACTGATTATTTCATTAAGGCAGCATACTTATTCTCATGTGCACAGTTCAGCCTAACCCACTATTATGGCAATGCTTATTGATTGTCTGGGCATCAGCACCTGATGTACTGTATGTACAGTATTATATTGAAGTTCTAGGGATATGTCATTTCAATGTATGTAATGTGGTTTCAAATGAAGTAAGACCTGTCTGGAAAAATAATACAGTAATTGATCATGATAAGAGGTCAACCTGGGACCTGGATAAACCAGAACTTGGGCCATCACCAACTTAATGCTGTGTAATCCACCTGGCACTCACCTCGATGGTTCGGCAGGTGTCCTCCAGCTGGTTCATGATGGCCTGGACTCGGTCGTTGCCTGCCACCAGTGTAGCAATGCCATCACTGAGCTCCGTCTGCCAGGGCAAGATACAGTGTGAGCTGGGCACGGCGTTGTCAGAGGTGCCATGAATTGAGGTTCTTCTTCACGGACCTGCCACAGACCTACTTAGAGCACTGCCAAATGCGAATTGGTAATGGATAGTGCACAGGCCTGACACATGTTATATCACATGCCTTGTTTAGATTGATGCTTTAAGTGGAATAATTAATGAGGGGCCACTGGATAAACCCAGAACCCCTTTCTGTTCCGCAACTTGAATTCCCTGGGAACAGAAGGGGAACAGGACCTTTAACAATGTAACTTCAAGTAGATGAGCGATTGTAACACAGAAATCAAACATCAGTTCTTTTGGGTATTGAGTTTATCTGCCTTACTTGCTAAATGGGACACCATTTAAGCATTCGCTGTGGATATCAGGACTGTGTTTTACACCGGCTTTAGGTCAAATACCCCTCTGAAGGGGGTAGAGGGCTGATGCGCAATCATTTGTAGGTACAGCATGTTGTCAAATATACAATTTTAAGGGTGAGCGGGTATGCTCAAAAGGGAGAGTTCCGTTCTCTTGTTTAAGGAGAGAACCAAGGGTTTGCACCTGAGCTGGATTGCTGCTGGCAAGGTTCTGAGGAGCAGATGCATGAGTACCTAATATAGGGTGTTGAATTAGGAAACTAATTAGCTAGTTACTGCAGGTTCACACAGCTGTCAGGGAGGAGACTGGGAAATAACTACATTCCCTGTCATCTTGGGACCTCTAGTGGGGACTAGCGGAGTCACAGGATGAGGGATAACTCCGCTGTGTCTCACAGTGATTTTAAAGACTGACTCAATTGGAGGTCTGTTACCCAGAAAGCATTCTGTAGACTTGAGATAAACCTGATTGTTTTGTGTAATACATTAATCATCAAGTCACTAGTGCCCTTACTGGTTGAGCCACTCAGACAGCAAAGACACTTGCTCGTAGTGTAGGCTGGGCTCTATGAAGCAGCTCTAACATTTTATTTTGAGCCAGTGTATCAGCTGACCTTGCTGAGATACATATGCTAACACTTAAGACATCACAGAGATTTTGTCAGTACTTATTGCCTACACCAATATTAAATGCTTTTAACTGTATATACTTAATGAATAGCTGTTATTATGCATATATTAAGCAGTATTGGTCACAGTTCTGCTGTGAACATTCTGGGATTAGTTGGACAGGGCTCTCTCAGCTGGCAGACACTGTTTCCTGTGACTTGCTGGGTGTCTGCATTCTTACAGTGATGTTAATGCAAACTGTCAGCACCAACTCTAGCAGTGAAACTGGAATTTGTAAAGTCAAGATACTGTATATAAGTAATTGCTGGTGAACCATTCACAGATGTTAAAAACAAGTAAAAAACAATTCATAAAAAGGTAACAGTGCTTGGACTTGGACAGACTTGGACTGACTTGGATTAGAGCCACTGTTAAGCTCCCAGACTTTCCAGTACTATGTTTCTTGGCTTTTCTGTGTGAATCTTTGAATAGATACTGTAAATGTTGTTGAAATCAGCAAACAGGATAATGCAGACATGAGAGGGTGGTCAAAGGCAATGGAAAGCTGCTCAGGAGACTGAGGGGAGTCAGATATCCTTGCTGTTTAAAGGGCTGTGTGTGCTGGGCATGGTTTCGTGAAAATATAGCCCCTCTGAGAATAGCAGCTGGTGGAGGAAGCAGACAAGCCCATCTGGGGAGATACTTCCCAAAATGCTGACTACTCACATAGCTGTCAGTCGGGCTGGGGTGTACACAGACAGTGAGGCCTGCAAGCAGCATCATGCTGACAAGAGAAGACACACTCCCATAAACTGTCTTTGCAGTTTTGACCCACTACTAAACTTACCCACTTGCTTAATACCCTTGACCTCCTAACTGTAATCATGCAAAACATCATTTGCAGGGGCTTAGGCACTGGGTATCTTAATGCATTATTCCTGGCTCATGGTTGCTGTTTGAATGTGATTATATACTCAGTCCGAGTATGTGGCTTTCAGCAGGGTACTCTAATACCTTGTGTCAGGTCTGTGTCAGGTGGGATTTTCCTCTGTTACAGAATTTACAAGTGGTCAATGTGCAAAGTATAAAAGCACTTCCCACAAATCTTTTCAGAATAGCATTAGAGTTTTTATTTATATTTCAACTTGCAAATTCTGTCCGTTTTGACAGAGACGTGTTTATTATTTGTTGTCATTTCTTGATCTATTCAAATTACAACCAAGGACAAAGCTTTGTTCACCCTTTGCAACAAGAACTCTATAGGAGACTTTTTGAAACCCTTTTCAATTTCTGACACTCTCCTCCATACTGTTTTTTTTTTGTGACACAAAAGGATTAAGATACAACAGCAACTTCTGCAGCAAGGACTCGAACCCCCAACCCATCTGTCTGAGCTTACCCACTATACAAGACCATGTAAAACATTAACAAACATAAATATAAATGTGGGATCTATAATCAACACCCTTTGTTATAAATGTTCTGCTATTTCAATATTTAAGGCAGAGGATATAAGGGAAACAATAAGAGGCCCTGGAGGTGTGTGGTTTGCAGGGCAGTTCCTGGTTGGAAATACAGTATCTAGGGAGACATCTTCATCAATGGCTGGTTGGGCAACTTGAGCTTGAGATCTGTGGGCTTAAGACCCAGCATACTGACCACTGCTGTAACCTAAGTTTAGCAGAGGTATAGGAACTAGCTAACACTCCCTATAACAAGACTGTGCACAACATGATCAGGGTATAGGATGCTTCAGACCAGTGAGGGAGAGATAACTTGGAGGCTATTTCATACTCAGTGCTGAAACAAGGTCATGGGGTTCACAACTGGAGACTAAAAGCAAATAAATGTAGCTAGAGAATAGAAAATGATTTTTTACACAAATGGTTGTGGGTATCTCGAATAGGCTTCCAGCCAAGTGGTTAAGATCCAAAATCAGGCTCCCTTAACATGGGTGAAATTTTAATTGTATTCACTTAGCTACAGTAATAGACTACCAATGGTGTATTATAGGCCAAATGTTCTCTTTGCCTTTGTTACACTTCATACGTTCTTTATGCTCCTCTTAAGGGACCTTTCACCTTACTAATCCACTAAAGATAAAAACAGGTCAAGATGTTAGGGATTTTGGGGTAGTTTTTGTAAGAATGTTGGCAAATCATGGAAAATGAAAACGTATACCATTCCAATCCAACTGTAGTTTTTAACACAGATGTGAAAGTTTTAGAGAAGAGTCATAGAAGAAAACACAGCATGTTAGACTCCAGGAATATGAAAGACTTAAAGAAGATGGAATTTAAAACAAAATGTTATACTCCATCACCTTCGGAGCATTCTCTCCATACACATTAAACTTTAGACAGAAGACTAGGCCACCTTAAATTTCTGCTATGAAACATGTGAAACAGCAGAAACAGGAAAAAAGTGGGATATCTTTCGTTGCAGTGGCATCATTCATTTACCTCATAAAGAATCCACCATATCTCTGACACAAACAGCCTCTCCTGCTTGTCCGATAAGGCCTCTCCTTCAACGCAGGCAGTTGTCACACTGTCACTCGCTAATTTTAACCTGAGCTCCCATGGCCTTGCATGGAAAGTCTCAGTGACCTCTGGGTATATATAGTCACTGCAGCAGGCATTCCACCCCACATGCAGATATGTGACAAATTCCTCTGACTGCCTCCTAGTTTACAGTAACCAAAAAGAGAGGGACATCACTTCTCTGTCTCAAGCTAGCAGTGCACGGACAAGAACACAAAAGTCTTTCTAATTAAAATAATGTCAGAGCATGAGGAAGTTTCTTGAATCCCACCAGATGAAAATGACAATGAAGTACAGATTTATGATGACTCCTTAGCTTGAAATGCTGAATGGCAGTTACTCCCAATACAAGTGCACCACACTGACAACATTATGGCTTTGTGCATTTTCAAGACTGACCACCTGTTACTCATACCAATACCACTTGGCACCAACCTCTCACCCACACATTTGTTTAAAATGCCACAATGAAGCAAACGTCTTCAATGCAGGTGTTAAAGTCTCTCACGGAGATCTAATTGAAAACCACAGGGTTTAAGTCCGTTTTGTACAGCTCACAGAATTGTTACTCACCTGATACTACTTTTCCTAGAGTATTTAGCACCACATATGAACAGATGATTAGAAAAAACTATCCTGTAAGTGTAACAGCTTCCTTATATAACTGAGAAATAATACATCTTTTAGGGGGGATTCAGATTTAGAGGAGTTTAATCATAATCCTATTGGCTTCTCAAGCAGACACAGACACCAGAGGTCTGAGTCTGTGGTTCCAGTTGTACTGAACAAGATTACGCATTGCAACAAAACATCATCAGTAGAATAAAACTAACCTGTCTCATGACGTTCTAAAACCCAGCTGACATTCCCAATTAACAGGTAAAAAATACAATGCTTAGAGAAGCACAGGAGGCATGAAGTACTGATAAAACTACATATTTTCTATTTACTGTATGATGTGCTAAGCACTAGTTTGCTAATCGGTAACAACTAAAACAGATATATGGCATTTATGAAAAATCCATTAAATTAAGCATTGTTAACAATCATTACCTAAGTGCATCTCAATACCAGACTCCAGGATTGACTGGTAACTGAAACCATGTCTCTAAAAAATCCACCTACTGTTTTTCTCATGTTTACCAAATACACATCCCTTTTCACTTGTAAAACTATATTTAAATCAACAATAATGCTATTAATATTTTTAGCCTTTTCATTTGATCTTTTGATTTCCTGACTTTAATCAGCCTACAGTCTCCATTAATGTGATGAAGTAAGAACAGTTGTGAGGGGTTTTAAGTTTTGATAGAGTTTTGACTTGGGCACAGGACCCCTCACTGAAGGGATAGTGTACCTAACTGGACCAAACCCAGCCCTATAAATTGCATTCACCATTTGTATGTAATAAAAAGGTAATGCTAATGTGTGTAAGTCAGTTTAAATAAAAACATCAGTGAAATCAAAAATAATAATTATTTTTGCTGTTCTTGTGCACATCTTGAAGGTGTGGGCCCTCACCTTTTGATGCTGGTAGACATTCTCCAGGGGTGACACCTCGCAGTTCTTGTGAGCTCCAAACACTTTGCACATGGAGCAGGTGGGCACCTGGCAGGTCACACAATAAATATTGATCTTCTCATCCTCATGCTCCAAACACATGGGCTGGTCTACTTTCTTCAGTGGCCTGGGGCTGAGGGAGATAGGGGAGACAATCTTAGACATAGGCAAATTAGATCAGACACACCTACAAAATCAAGCAAACAGTACAGACTTGGGGTAAGAGTAAGCAAGAAGTAGCTTTTAATTCTGAACTTTATGAATTAATCAGCTATGACTGTTTCGTTAGAGGAGCAATTTAGAGATGCCAATAAAATTGAATAGCAGATGTTTGGATTGTGGCTGGAAACTGGGGTGCCAGGAGAAAATTCACGCAAATATGGGGAGAACTCACAAACTGCATGCAGTCTTATTCAAACTCAGGAGTCTAGAATAGAGAAGCAACCGTGCAGTGCCATTTACGTACACACATTAATTCAAATTTATTTCCATTAAAAATTAACACACAGAGCTGGTAGGAAAATAAATCTAGATTTTGAAAACAATACAATCCAGATAACACTTCTGCAAACTACTGCAAAAAGATGATGAGCAAAAGAGGATTTTCTATTTTGCTCATCATTTTTTGCAGTAGTTTGCAGACGTTTTAGACCAGCTCTGTGAATACACTGTGTGCTGTATTTAAACACTGCTGTTATGGTTGAATTTCAGGGTCTGTCTTTGCTGTTGTACAGCTGAGTTGCAGGTTAATCCAGGCTTGCTCCTTTTAAGGCCCTGCTTTAAATATCACCAAGCTGCAAGGACCTTGGTGTAATCTGACACTGCATCGACCTGCTGTCACTTGCTCTCCTCTCCCAGTTTCTCTCAAGCACTCTTTATTAAAAATTGCCAGAATAACAGAGACAAGCCTTAGACACAACAACTTGATGGAGACTGATATACAGACTGAGAGAGCTGGGAGACAAACTATAGCCAAGTCTGGAGGAGTGATAGTCAACAGAGGATCATTAAACTGTCATGGCATGACCAACTGCTAGTAATATTACAGGTCTATTATTCTTCTGTAGACTTTGTTTTATTATATACAACAGAGGTGGCTATCTTCTGTTTAGCAAAATTAATCAGTCACTTTTGGTCATCCGTTTTTACAGACTTGCAACATTTCATCATTAGGATCAATTCAGCAGGTTCTCTGGTCCACGCATTCAGAAACCAAATGGAGCAAAGCCTTAAACACCCCACATTCCTGATAGAACAGAGCTAACAAAAGCAGCACTCATACGTTGGCCTGTACTTTGCTGCTGTAATGAGAATGTCAGCTATATTCACCACAATTGGATTTTTCTTGGTTGTTCTACATGTAGGTGTACTTCGTACTGTACCGTGACTGCGTTGTGTGTCCGCCTTCTTACTTAGCAGTTCCTTGTAGATGTTAATGTTGTCCTGCAGCAGCAGAATCAGTCCTACCATGCTGTACTGTAAACACCGTGCGTGTGGTCACACTGCACAGTGGCAAGCCATTCTCTGCAGCTGTTGCTCTGACCTGCTGCTCTCCTGTTTGTAGATGTCGATGATGTTCTCCACCAGCAGATTCCTCTGCAGCCCGTAGACCCCGTGCCGGTCCAGGACCACCTCGTGACGACATGATGGACACCGGAAACGGCCTCCCGAAATATTAGTACCACGGGACGTCCAGTACGGGTTTGCAGCCTGGAACAACCAAAAATGTGGAATCAGCAAGCCAGTAGGGGAGCATCTCGTGGGCATTAAATGTCAAGGCAAAGTGGTCCCATTGCCGATACTTGCTGGCAGGCACAGGCAAGGTGTGTCTCATTAGAATATTTAGTATGTCAAGGGACGTTCTAATGGTAAGGCACTGCAGTCCCAATATCCTTCTGTTTCTCCAGTCACTGGTTTCTACACAAAGAATGGGACTCTGTTGTTAATTAACAACACTTCTAGTTTCTTGGAAAGGGATCACAAATAAAATTCCATTATTATCATTATTAAAAATAAACTTGGTGGTTCTGGCTCTGAGTTACAACCATGGTTGCTGTAGATGAACACTGAAAATGGATCATGTCATGATGCTGAGAGACACAAAGCAGGTTAACACTGAATTTTAATAGGCACAGCAATTTTAATAGGCGCCTTGCGCTATGCTCGTCTGTCAATGTGCTACCCCACTTTAAGTCAGCTGTGTACAAGGAGCTCTTCTCAGGGCTTGGTACTGTCACCACTCCTCCCAGTGGGAGTCAATTGCTACAGTGGCTACAGCCAGCAAAGTGATCTACTCCCTCCATCTGCAGCAAACAGCAAGTGTTTACAAGCTTACTGTAAGCATACCAGCGTTCTATTTTTGGGTTAATAGAAATGCTTGGGGTTAATGTGACCACAAGCCCAGAAAAACACTGGGAAAGTCAGTCATTCTGCCATAATCTGTTTTTATATACCACCTTTCAAGATCTCTTTATGAATGAACAAAACATTCTAAATTCAAATCTAACTCTTACTGTAGAGTATGTTCAAATAAAAAAAAAAAATTAGTGAATACAGAAGTTTATTATTTTTATTTTTGTCTTATATGCAATACTGATTAGAGTATTGATAGCGCTGACACTGTAGTAGTCAAACCTTGGTCAGTATCATAAGGTATTTCCCATTATAAACAGCCATTTATAGCTTATTTATAGCTAATACTTATTTAATTATCCTTATTTATAGCTAATACTAGCTAGATACTACCTTTGATAGCTTATACTAATCTTACTATCTTTGCAACCTTTTCCCAAAAACTGTACAGTAACTATCTGTTATAATGAGAGCTTAACTGATTATGCTGTTTAGGTCTTTAAAACATCAAAAGGAAAACCTATGTTTGATTTATGGTATAACTCTGTAATCCTTTGCATTTGTCATGTCACTATGAACTGGACTAAAAAACTGAGATGCTGAATATAAATCATATAAGTGTGGATTTCAAATTGAAAGCCAGCTTGTTTTACATGGTCAGGTTTACACAAGCATCTTAAGGGGAGAAGATGAGACTGATTTTAAAACAACAATTGTGGGAACAATGTGTATTTCAACTGATTGGAGTGCCTGCGACATAACAGCATTGCATTTTTACATGCAAGATCTTACATGAATATTAGCTATAAATCAGCTCCAATATGTCTTCTGTTGCTTATATCATACCCTCAATTAAAATCTTAAACTTTTTCTCAAATAGAACTATTCATGGAAAAGCAGATACAATATTAAATCAAACAAGACATTTCAACACACCACAGAAATAGACCCATGTAGTCCTTGATGACCTGCTTTAACAGCTTTTGTTCTCTCCACCTAGTCTCTTGTCCTTCCATGGATAAGGTGAATGGCTCATTCCAGGACATCAGTCATTTTATTATTCTAGCTGAAAGACTACAGAAACAAAGCACACTGTATCCTAAGACAACCTTTGCGTTCTGTTCAGCGTGAATGGTAACACGTTTGGCAAGCCAAAGGCTAGACTATCTTTCTCTAAGGCAATCCTGGAATTACTTTGCATGAGAATTCTGGTTCTATTTTGGTGGCTATGACCCGCATTGCCAATCTTACAAATGACCACATAAAAAAATCTGCTTCTTGCATTGTCCAGTTTTTGCAGACAGCCTTTGGACAAATAGAACGAACTACCCAAGCCAGTAATTGAAACTTTGACTCGTCTTCTTCTGCATGAAAAAGATTCCTTAAGAGCTAAATTAAAGTGTGTCCTTAATGTTAGAAATAATAGATTAAACCATTGCATGGAATTACACTGGGTTCTGATTTCAGTATTTAAATCACCTTTTCCTGACAAATAATTTTCACAGGATAGATGCATAGCTAGGTAGCAGAAAGTTTGAGCAACAGCATGAGTAAATAAAAATAAGTGACTAGAAATTGATGTTTCTCTACATTCTTACTGCAAAGACTGAAATTCTGGTCTCCAAGCACTGAGGTACATAGCTCACCTGAAACACATCATTGGCACATTTTCGACACAGGTTGTGTTGGCAAGGCAGAATGACCACAGGCTTGGAGAAGATCTCCAGGCAAATGGGGCAGATCAACTGCTTCTCCAGGTTCTCCATCCTGTTGGACTCCTGGATGATGCTCGATTGGAAATCCATGTCCTTAGATTTATAGTTGTTTAAACAGCTTCTTGGCCTTTATTCACACTCTTTTCCGGGAAAAGAAAGAAGCTCCTTTTTGTTATAACTCCTCTGTCTTTCCGAATCATTGCAGGCATGTGGAGAGTTTTGCCTATCACCCAGCGTCAGGCTCTATTTATACCCCTGGATGGAGTCACTTGATCCCAGCCCTGCTCCTGTGCATTCCTGGGGTCTGATAGCTAGCCTAGAAAAATCAGCTCTCTGCCTTTCCTTATCACATGCTGCCCTGAGGAATGCCTCTGCAGGATATCTCTCGTAGAACCCCTTAAAGGGATAGATTACAATAAATCTGGTCATTTTCCCTGTAGTTGGCTTATTTCACACACTGCTGTGTACAGTATGTTCTTAGTGATTCTACAGGGTCTCGAAGAAAGCTCCTACTGTTTTGTTTTGTATTTATTGCTTATTCTGAGTAAATCATGTTAGTTTGCATAGAACATTTATTAACAATATCTTACCAATACTTTTGTGAACCTATGAATATGGTACAAGATTGTTTCTTCTTTAATGTAGAAACATTTACAATAGAATATGTGCACCATCCACTGTGAGAATGTGTCACTCTTGACATGAAGGCCTTGTCAAGTAGTTGCATACAACAGGTCTTCTATAAAGCCAAATACAACTCCTCATTTGCACATGCATTCCTGTTTGCTTTGTCTGGGTTGGACACCCAATAAAAAAGAGTTACACTTACTTGAATCTCGAGAATATGCAGGCTGAAAACAACCAACACTGTATAATCTTGAATTGAAATGATCTAATCCTCAAAAGTCTTAATCAACAGTTGACAAAAGGGGGCAAAATTAAAACTGGGCCAAATTAATCTGTGAAACAAATAGAGAAACAACACTTTTCCTGCCCTATCCCTAACCCAAGCCAGGGTTTAGAATGAGCAAATCTGCAATCTGTCTCTAAAGCCCTCAAATTATTAGATTTTAAAATGTTTCAGAAACCAACAGATATGAGGAAAAAATCAAAACTACTGAAAAAAGCTCTTGGAAATTTATCATCTTTAAGACTCCTTTAGACACATTTTTCAATCAGCTGTGAAACACTAAAAATGGTCTTCAAGATGATTGTGCATTTCAGGCTAGATTAGGGTTAGGGTAACAAGAACCCCTTAAAAGTTGACAGCAGTTAAACATTTATTTGCACTTTGACAAAATTAAGAGAGTTTAAACAGTAGAACAAGTTTTTTTACAACTTTTGATCTGGGTCACCATTGCAATACACTTACTGAACACTGTACAACATGAGTAGCCAAAACTCTCCAAAAAAAGAAGAGCAAATTATCAGCACTGAGCATAAAAAATGTGTATGTAGTGTACGAATGCTAACCCTAACCCTAGCCAGGGTCCGAGTTAGCAATTCTGTAATCTGTCTCTGAAGCCCTCAAATCAACAGATTGGAAAATGTTCCTCAAACCAATAAATATTAGAAAAAATAATCAAAACCACAGAAAAAAGCTTGTGGAAATGTTTCTTCTTGAAGACTGTATCTTCTTTAGGCAAATTTTCAATCAGCTGAAAAACGCTATTACAATAGTATTTAAACAATTGTGCATTTTAAGCCAGAGTAGGGTTAGGGTTACAAGAACTATTTAAT